GAAATACACCCCTTCCATCAGATTTAGGAAATTTTCAATGAAGAAAAAGAGGCCAGAGAGTCCGTAACTTGAATTAATAAAAGGTTGTCAAAAAGAAAAAAAGAAAAAAATCACAAATATGCTTGGAGCCAAGTATGAGAAACAAAATGAGTGACCAACATGGTTAATAATAGTTTTTTGGTTAAATTTAAAATGACTATGGTAATTTTTTTAAGTTTATTTATTTTGAAACAGAGTACAAGTGGGGGAGGGGCAGAGAGGGAGAGAGAGAGAGAGAGAGAGAGAGAGAGAGAGAGAGAGAATCTCAAACAGGTTCCATGCTGCCAGTGCAGAGCCTGATGCAGGGATCAAACTCACAAAACCACAAGATCATGACCTGAGCCAAAACCAGAGTTGGATACTTAACTGAGCCACCCAGAAGAGCCTAAAATGACTATTAAATGCACTTAAACAATTGGAAAATATTGAAAATGTATGAGTTAAGCTTTTAAGAATATAGAAAAACAAAGTAATTCTAAGAAAAGCATTAGTAAGAAAATTAACACAGAAATAACTGAATTAAAAAGATAATCCTCTAACAAGACCGATCAAGGTAGAATAAAGAGAACATACATTACAAACAAATAAATGGTAACAATTCACAAAACAAAACATACATGAATAACTTTATACCAGTGTATTTAAAAAGTTAGATAAAATAATATTCAAAAAAGTATATAAATTAACAAAATGCCCTAAGAAGAAATAAAGCTATGGGGCACCTGGGTAGATCAGTCAGTTAAGTGTCTGACTTCAGCTCAGGTGGTGATCTTGCAGTTCATGAGTTTGAGCCCTACACTGGGCTCTGGGATGACAGCTCAGAGCCTGGAGCCTGTTTCAGATTCTGTGTCTCCCTCTCTCTCTGCCCCTCCCCTGCTTGCACTCTGTTTCTCTCTCTCTCTCAAAAATAAAAAAAAACATTAAAAATAATTTTATTTAAAAAGGAGAAATACAACTATTACTATTTGAGAAACTGAAATAGTAATTTAAAAACCTAGTGTCTTCCACAACTTCTCTCTTCTTACTTTAAAAATATTAGGACAGTTTTTAACAGGAGGCTATACCAACTCTTTCAAAGAGCAGATAGCCCCTATTTGCTGTAAAAATTATTTCAGAGAATTAAAGGAAAAAAAAAACACCTCTCTTTATGAAGTTGTTATAACCTTGACACTCAGAACTGGACAATACAAGAAAAGTAAAAATTATCACAAACTATTTTACTTATGAGTATAGATGCAAAAATCTTAAAATGTAAGAACCAGAAAGCAAGCAAGAGACAAATCTGTCCTTTGCAGACAACAATTCTACAAAGAATATTTAAAAGAATCTACATGATTAGAATTCAAAAAAAAGAGTTCAGCAGAGATGGATGCTTGAACATCCATTATATTACTTACTATATGTCTATATATTTAAAACATTTTACAATATAAACTTCCTTAAAAGGAAACACATTTTAAAAAATAAACTAGAGCTATGGCATTATTATAAATACATCTCAAAAACTAAATGTTAAAAGTTAAAAAACCAAGTTACAGAAATATGTGTAGTATAGTATCATTGTATTACATATTATGTAAAACAAAGTTTTACTATAGCTCATACATATTGGCAGTTGTATAGACTTTCATGGAATGGCATACTCAAGTTCAGGATGACAGTTACCTCTGGGTAGGGAATAAGAGGTGAGGAGGCCTGGGGAAGGGTACATAGGGAGCTTCAGACAAATCTGTAAAGATTTCTTTCAAAAGTCTGAAGCAAGGGGCACCTGGCTGGCTCAGTCAGTAGAGTGTGTGACTCTTGATCTCGGGGTCGTGATTCAAGCCCCGCATTGGGTGTTGAGCTTACTTAAAAATTTTAAATAAACAAAGCGTGAAGCAAATACATCATTTGGTAAAGCTTGGTACTGGATGGTTTTAAGAAGCCCATATTCATATATGTATATATACACACAAATGCGTGTAAGTAACAGTAGGAACAATAATAGGTGAAGAAAATGAGAGCTAACATCCACGCACTTATTATGTAGCAGGCACTCTTCTAAGTGTGTGTGCTTCTCTACTCCTAAGAACAACCTCAGGGGATAGATTCTACTTATATTTCTACCTAATATTATCTATCTATTACTATTTTACTACTATTACAGTCTATTATTCATTTTACAGATGAGGAACTAAAGCAGAGAGAGGTGAAGTTGGCCTAAGGTTATAAAGCTAGTAAATAATGAAAGTAAGATATGAAGCTGGGATTCATGTTCTAGGGTTTACAGCTTAATAACTATGTTATTGTTGTTAAGTCATTCTCTATTCTTTTCAGTATTCATTTCCAATGTTATTTCTATATGCTGGAAATGAAAAACACTTTTTAACCCATGACCATAAAAAGATGCATACACACACACACATATTTCTGTGTAGCTCAAACTGATTATAAAGATGCTGAGGGGTGCATGGGTGGCTCAGTCATTAAGTGTCTGACTCGATTCTGGCTCAGGTCGTGATCTCGTCGTTTGTGAGTTTGAGCTCCACGCTGGGCTCAGCACTGACAAGCATGGCAAGCCTGCTTGGGATTCTCTCTCTCCCTTTCTCTCTGCCCCTCCCCCCGCTCGTGCTGGCTCTCTCTCAAAATAAATAAATAAATAAATATTAAAAAAAGAGATGTTGACAGGGGTGCCTGCCTGGGTGGCTCAGTTGGTTAAGCGTCTGACTTCAGTTCAGGTCATGATCTCATGGTTCATGGGTTTGAGTCCCACGTCAGGCTCTGTACTGACAGCTCAGAACCTGAAGCCCGCTTCAGATTGTCTCCCCGTCACTCTGCCCCTCCCCCGCTTGCTCTCTCTCTCTCTCAAAAATAAATAAACGTTAAAAAAAAAAAAAAAAAAAAAAAAAAAAGATGCTCATAGGGGTGCCTGTGTGGCTCAGCTGGTTAAGTATCCAACTTTGACTCAGGTCATGAACTCACCGTTTGTGAGTTTAAGCCCCAAGTCGGGCTTTGTGACAGCTCTGAGCCTGGAGCCTGCTTTGGATTCTGTGTTTCCATCTCTTTCTCTGCCCCACCGCTGCTTGCATTCTGTCTCTCAAAAATGAATAAATGTTAAAAATATATATATATTAGAAAATAAAAAAAATTAAAAAAGATACTGAAAGAATTCTAGGAATGTCTTGAAAACAGTGGCATCCCAACTACTCTAATTTATCAATTTACATGTTTCAGGTTTGGTATTTTTTAGATCATCATTTCATAGTCAAATATTATTCTTTAATAGTCCTAAGATAACATATATTTAGAATCCTAAATAAGTTATATAGAGAAGCATATATGATGTAATTCTACCATCTCTCTCTCTCATTAAAGGCAAAATTCCATTACTTGGCTTCAGGTCTGAAAACTAATATTAAGAGTTTTCAGTAAGTCATTCTGCCAAGAAATTCAATTTCAATTATTATTATTATTTTTTTTTTTTTGGTCTCTCAGTAGGAGTTGTTTTTTTTTAAAAGCCCAGAGCTAATATTTATACAATAATAAAAATATTTTGTATAGGACTGTTTATACCGCAAAATAAAAGAAAGGGAATTGGCATTCTCAGTCATTAAATATTTACAAGCATTAAGTGCTAATCACACTTTGTCCCCAGTACCACTGTTACCAGTTCTTGAAAATGTCTTTTCTCCATCTATAGCCACATTCTCAATGTTATCATCTACTAACCTACAGAATATGAATTCAGAAATTATGCAAATAAAGGGGCGCCTGGGTGGCTCAGTCTGTTAAGCTTCCAACTTCAGCTCAGGCCATGATCCCGTGGTTCGTGAGTTTGAGCCCCGCATTGGGCTCTGTGCTGACAGCTCAGAGCCTGGAGCTGCTTCAGATTCTGTGTCTCCCTCTTTCTCTGCCCCTCCCCTGCTCACACTCTGTCTCTATCAAAAATAAACAAACACTAAAATAAAAATAAATATAAAAATATGAAAAAAGTTCTTGCTTTCAAAGAGTTCACTGTCTAGCAGGGGAAAGAGACAAGTAAACAAAAATTATCTATAATACCTAAGTACTTTAATAAAAGTAATTAAAACATAAAGATCAGGGGAGATGAAAGGGTGGCTGGTGCACTTTTAACAGCAAACCTGAAACACGATGAAGGAGACAGCAATGGAGACTGCTGTTTCAAGAAAACTTGTTTTGAAGGGAGGATGATAGCTAGGGGCACAGGCTCTAGAGAAGGTTTTAAGATAGAGACGTAACTTAGCATCAACTATTCTGGACTACTTTCCTTGCTTCATTCCTCCCTTAGCAATGAAATCTCAGTTTGAATATAAGAAGCAAGTCATCGAACATTTCTAAGCCTCGAATGAGACAGATGTTTAAGAACTCTAAATTATAAAGGAAACAAATAAATTATCTCAAATTCTTTCTAGACCTAAAATTCTATGATTTCATGACTATGATTATCTGATCTGTTTAAATTCAAAGGTAAATCATAAAATATTCACCATGCAAAAAAGAAAAACTAAGACCAATTAAGGGATGAACTAGTTCATACAAGTGCATTCTATTATTTTTTCAAAACTGTTAAAACAATTCCTCTTCCGACCATCAGTAAAATTTTCACAAAAGACAGTGCCTTTTTATCAGTTGGTAAAGTGCTTCTTGCTCTCAAACCTGTAGACTTCTAAACAATCAACAAGCAAACTATTTTGTGAGAACAGAAGTAAACTGCTTAAAAGCCCATAGCTTAGACTTGTAAAAGTCATCTTTTAAAAAGAAGATGTTTATGGAAACACGTGCATTACATTCTTTCTACATGTATTTGTTCATTATCTTCACTTTAAAATTGTAACGTACAGGTTGAAATTCATAAACAGTTTTGTTTAAAATAAAAAAACTAGCTAAGATTAGATCTTCATAGTAATATGCCTTCTTTCCACTATTACACATTCTGAAATTTAGAACAAGGTTTCCCTTACCTGATATGGACATGGAATGTGATATTCTCTGCAGCGTTCTTGTATCCATGTTGTTTCCCAGATGCCACGGTAAGCTTGCTCATAAAAGTAGCATCCAATTACAACCAAGAGTGGTACGAGATAGAGAATGCTGAAAACACCAATCCGGATCATAAACTTCACCAATTTATCTTGGTTCTCCTTTTCTAATGGAATTTCAATTCGAACTCTGTTTAAGGATATAATGCCAGCTAAGAGGAGAGAAACTCCAACTACCACATACAGGCAGAGGGGAGCAAGAACAAAATATCTCAATGCATCAACATCGTAGAGGCCAACAAAACACACGCCACTGATATTGTCACCTTCAATTTTATTCATCGCTAAAAGGATGATAGTTAGAGTTCCGGGGATGCCCCATGCACTGGCATGAAATAGCAATGCTTTCTTCTCAATAGCTTCACTACCCCACTTTGGCACAGCTGCCAAGAACCATGTGATGGTAAGAATTACCCACCAAACACTGCCAGCCATAGTAAAAAAATAGAGTACCATAAAAAGCATGGTACAGGCTTTATTATGAGATCCTTGTGTCACTGTGGAAGCCTTATACTGTGAAGGGCTAGATGCATTGCAGGCTACTCGGTCCTCAAGCAAAAACCCAATGAAGAAAATTAATGATACCATCATGTAGCAGACTGCATAAAATATAATAGGTCTTTCAGGATAACGGAATCTTGTGACATCAATCAAAAAAGTTAAAAAAGTAAACAACGTGGCAGAGAGGCAAATGATTGAAATCAATCCTATGAAGTATCGAGCAAACGAAAGTTCTTCTCTCCTAAAGTACATATTTGGACAAGGAGGTGAACAATCACGCACGTGTAAAAAAGAATAACCAAGATCAGGATCAATTTTCAATTCTCGAGGACACCAAAAACCATAGTCCCTCTGCACTGCCACTGGAGCTCCTTCAGTAGGATCACCAGCTAAATTCAGATCCACAAGTCGAGGATATGGCTCATCACAATCTGGGAACCTAAAAAAAAAACAAAACAAGATGAGAACCATTTTCACTTACTGGGAAATCTATGGATACCAAACAATTTGGATTTCCAAATTTAGTACTCATGACCTTATTCATTCTTATATCCTTAGAGTACAATCACATTAAGTAGGAATAAAGTAAATGTTGATATCTTGTTTATGGGTCATACAACTAGATTTTCCATTGTTGATCAAAAAAGGATATGGTTTGGGGTGCCTAGGTGGCTCAATCAGTTGAGCGTCCGACTTCGGCTCAGGTTATGATCTCATGGTTCATGGGTTTGAGCCCCACGTCAGGCTCCGTGTTGACAGCTCGGAGCTTGAAGCCTGCTTTGGATTCTGTGTCTCCTTCTCTCTCTGCCTCTCCCCAACCGCCCACTGACACTCTGTTTCTCTCTCTCAAAAAACTAAGTAAAAACTTAAAAAAAATTTTTTTAAACTACATGGTTTTATACTTAATTTTGTTTTGACTTCAAAAACAGTACTTTTTTAAAGTTTATTATCTTTTTAGTAACCGCTATACACAACATGGGGCTCAGACTCATGACTCCTGAGATCAAGAGTCCCATGCTCTTCTGACTGAGCCAGCCAGGTCCCCCAAACAGTACTCTTTATTACAATAGTCTAACATAGCCATCAATAAGTAACACTGTATAAAGAAACTATTTCTGACATCATCTATTTATTATCTCTACTACTACCGTAACTACTAGAATTTTAGTTCTGTAAGAACCAAGACTATATTTTGTTCACTACTCATCTTCAGCATCTAGACTAGTGCCTAGCACAGGGGACACATCCAATTAACATTTGTTGAGTTAATGACTGTTGAAGAAATATATACATATAGACCTAACCCAAGTAATTAGAAATATGACTAGGAGCAGTGTGGAAGACAGACTTGGGCAAAAATGGGAGCAGAGATACTAGCTGAGCCAGAATGAAAACCAGATAAGGTAGGGGCACCTGGCTGGCTCAGTCGGTAGAACATGCAACTCTTGATCTTGGGGTTAAAAGTTCAAGACCCACACTGGGTGTAGAGATTACTTAAAAATAACAAAATCTTGGGGCGCCTGGGTGGCGCAGTCGGTTAAGCGTCCGACTTCAGCCAGGTCACGATCTCGCGGTCCGTGAGTTCGAGCCCCGCGTCGGGCTCTGGGCTGATGGCTCAGAGCCTGGAGCCTGTTCCGATTCTGTGTCTCCCTCTCTCTCTGCCCCTCCCCCGTTCATGCTCTGTCTCTTTCTGTCCCACAAATCAATAAACGTTGAAAAAAAAAAATAACAAAATCTTTAAAAAATAACAAAACAAAGACAGATAAGGCAGTGGGAATGAGACAGACATGAAACTGGTTAGATAAAAGCAAGTTTGTAACTGATTGGATGCAGAAGCTAAAGTCAATGAAGGAGAAACAGAAGATAACTTATAGAGAATTAAAAAACGAGCAAAGGAATAAATCAATTTTAGGTCTGTTGAAACTGAGGAATTTAAGACAAATGCAGGTTAGAATTTCCAAAATGGATGCTAGATACGCAGATTTGGAACTCAGCAGAAGAGTCAAGTCTAAGATTTAGGTGTAGGAGTCATTAGCAGATGAGTAAGAGTTAAAATGAGTGAGATGAGATCATCCAGGGAAAGCACATAGAATAAAAATGAAAGGTACAGAACTCTGTGAAGCACCAATATTTCAGGTATAGAAAGAGGAACAGGATCCAAAAAAAAAAAAAAAATTGAGAATAACTGGTCTGAGAAGTAGCCGACCACAATAGTTCATACATGAAGGCCTACATGATTTTCATGAAAAGAGGGCAAGCTGAGGTTGAGGGGAATATAGAATAAAGGCAAAATATGGGTTTGAAGCAAGAGATATAGATTTGGCAGAGATGCTGAGAGCAATAAACAAATTATTCTGTTGATCAAACTGGAAATTTACCAAAGACAAACAGTAAATAGAACGGCTATGGTTGGCATCATTAAATATATGGCATAATTAATCTATTAGAAATTGATTCAATGGGGGGGCGCCTGGGTGGCGCAGTCGGTTGAGCGTCCGACTTCAGCCAGGTCACGATCTCGCGGTCCGGGAGTTCGAGCCCCGCGTCGGGCTCTGGGCTGATGGCTCAGAGCCTGGAGCCTGTTTCCGATTCTGTGTCTCCCTCTCTCTCTGCCCCTCCCCCGTTCATGCTCTGTCTCTCTCTGTCCCAAAAATAAATAAACATTGAAAAAAAAAATTAAAAAAAAAAAAAAAGAAATTGATTCAATGGATCCAGCTGGGGATCTGAACAAGTTTAGTAGAAGGAATGAATTGAAATTGCTAGCAAGAATGTTATTACAAGTGATGGGGCACAAAGCTTAAGCTAAGTAAGGAAATAAATTAGATTAGGAAGAGGGATATGAGGAAGGGGAAATAAAAATCCAAAGTCTGGGAGTGTCAATTAAGTTCAAGAACAGCAGGAACAAGGATTTGAGCAATGCAGAAGAATGAAAGGTTGTTAGGGGCGCTGGGTGGCTCAGTCGGTTGAGCGTCCAACTTCAGCTCAGGTCATGATCTCGTGGTTGAGGAATTTGAGCCCCGCATCTGGCTTTGTGCTGACAGCTCAGAGCCTGGAGCCTGTTTCGGATTCTGTGTCTCCCTCTCTTTCTGTCCCTCCCTCGCTCATGCTCTGCCTCTGTCTCAAAAATAAACAGTAAAAAAAATTTAAAAAAAAAAAAAAAAAAAAAAAAAAAAAAAAAAAAAAAAAAAAAAAAAAAAGAATGAAAGGTTGTTATGAAAGACCACCGCGCCAGACTTTAAGGTTTCAGAGTTAGTCATAGTCAATCCCAGACAACAGTGAGGACATAAAATAGATTTAATCCCAACAAAACAAAGAAATAAAGATAATAATGAGATGTCTATACTTGTATACAAACTGTTAATATAAAAGACTACTAAACAGTGGGAGTTAATTACAAGAAACAAAATAGGGTTCTTGCCCAAGCAATTCATAGCTGTTATAAACACCAAGAAATTAACAGACTTCTAAAAGAGGAACTATAAACACTACCACATTCTTGGGGAGAAGGTGGATGAATGGTTACATGGGGCTAGATAAAAAAACAGGTTAAACATGTGGGAAACAGAATAAACAAATACAAGAAAGCAAAATGTCCGTGAACTGACTAGGAGAAACTAATATGTTTTATTTCTTAAGTTTTTCAAATGCCAAATGAGAGTAACAAGTCCTGCTATTAACCTACCTCCAAGGGCCATTGTTAGATGGTAAACAAAATTAATTTTAAACATGAAGGAAAAGAGAATGTTCACTGCAGCATTATTGATAACAGAAAACACCCAGAAATAACTTAAGTGACCATCAACAGGAAATGGCCAAATTACCCTAGAATATTAATACCATTATGTAGCAATTAAAAGGAATGAACCAAACCTACAGATACAACTATATACACATATAAAAAAAATTAATGTTGTTTATAGATATGTGTATATGTAGCAAGAGTATAAAAACAAATATAGGAATGATTAACAACACAATCATTATTACCTCATCTCTGAGGAGGAAAGAAAGGAATGAAATCAAGATAGGTACCAAGAAAGGAACTTTCAACTCTATCTGTATTGTTTTATTTGAGGGGAAAAAAAAAAAAAGTGACTGAGGCAAGTATCACAAAATGTTAAGACTGGATAAAGTTAGACAACAATAGGTACATACCCATTTATCTTACTATTCTTTATCCTCGAAATACTTCACAATACAGAAAGGTACATTATCATATAAGAAATACAGTATTACTGTACACGTTATTACTCTCATATAAATCTGTAAGACTGTCTAGTAAACATCTTCGAATCTTTAGAAAATACTTACGATCTATATTTGGAAGTGATCTGAAAAGTATCTGACATTTTCTGATTCTGGTTTGCTAATACATGACAGAAAAGCAGAGTTGACAGAACTTCTTTAGTCATTAACACACTTAAATCATATGGATACTTAACTTTCATTAAATCATCATTAAAGACATTTAATGGTGAGGTAACGAATGATTATTTTCTTCTCCATATTTTCTAACTGCATTACTCATACTTGTATAACCAGAAATTTTTTGAGGAAAAAAATTGTCTTGTTTTTCTTCATTCTTTTAAAAATTTCTTCACAGAAATTCTGTTTTTTCTTTTCTACCTTTTTCATTTAGTGATTCCAAGTCCCTAAGGAAATGAACAGTTCAGAGGTCATGAAACCTCTGTTCAAAATTAAAACTAATATATGCTACATTTCAAAAGTTTTAAAAAACTGATGAACTAGAAAATAGGTAATTTTAACATACTGCAGCATACCATAAGTAATGATCTATGAAAATCTGATTTTCGCACCTACTGCATTCCATATCTTCAGGCCAAGGAACACCAAACATCTCCATGAGCTCCGAACACTCACTGTAAGCCCGTTGACACAGCCTACGACAGGGAAGTGTGACACGTCCATATTCCATACAAATAGGAGCATAGAGTGCACAAAGAAATGGCCGAAAATCCCGAGAACAATCCAGATTCACCATTGGGTGGAATGGCTAGGAAAAAGTTAAAATTGAATAATTAAAGAAGGAGTTGTATACAAGTTAAAGTTTACTATATAAAATATTACAAGATTCTTTTTTTTTTTCCATTTTAAAAATGTCTGGAGGTTACTAAAATTTTCTGAAAAAAAGATTTTGTTTTTCTAAACAAAATCCTCTTAGCTATATCCCTGAAGAGTCTGAATTGGTTAAGACTGAGTTATATCTCAGAATCTAAATTTTGATTCTTAAAGGTGATATTAATGAAGAGGCAGGGCTCAGAATCACATTATGATCCATTTTACATATGAAAATAAAAATTCATGAAAGATATGCCAAATGCTCAAAAAAGTGATTACTGCTTGGCGACAGGATTTTAAGAAATTTTGATTTTCTTCTTTTCATGTATTTCAATTTCTACATTTTCTTCAACTAACAAGTATCAACAGAGAGCAGACAAAAGTTAAAAGAGGAAAGGGAGAGGGGGTGGAGGAAGAGAAGTAGTTATACATAGCAGTAGTTATTTTGAGCGTAAGGGAGAGGGAAGAATCTCTCACATTTGTCCATATTTTCTTGGTCTTGTTACATTAAAAATTTTATAGAGAGTTCTTTGAACTCTGGTATCACATAATGTAAGCAGAAATAACACTGTAAGCTGATATTAAGGAAACAAAAGGAAAAAATAGCGGCGCAAACATAAAACCATGTTAAAATAATTATAACCACAAGAATAGATAAAATATCCCAATAAATGTGCACCTGGGTTTTTGACTATCAAATACATTTCCCACTTATTTATACAATAATTTCAGAGTCATTGCTGATTTTGATCTGGTAACACATATTTTCACCACTAAGCCTTTCTACTGAGTACGAATCAATTTCTACATTGATATATAATATTTTCCAAAGGTCCGCCATACACAATGCAGTCAGAAAACCAAGAGTCACTTCAGAAAACTGATGTCAAAGTTAACTGTATAATGAATGTGGTAACCAACAAATAACAATAAACTGTATATGGCCATCACTTCCATGAATGAAGGAATAGTTTATGTTATACCAATGTTTCCATCAAAAACAATTTTAAAATACAGAAAAAAAGTTTAAAAACACCTATTTAAAGCTACTGAAGAACTGCTGAAGTAAAAGAACTAAAAGAACCAAGAATACAGAGAGCAGGGAAACATGGAGAGGTGGCCTGATAAATGCAGCCACTTTTCCAAGTAGGTATTTGTTGAAATTGGGCATAAGGCAAGAGGCCGTGAATCAGGCTTTGACTGGGCTGGTGCTAGAAAACGGAGAAACCAGCAGAACTGTGGTGGTCTTACAAGGCTACAAACAAAATTCAAAACAAAAGGAATAACACACAGGTGAGAAGGGCAAGTGCCAAGGATAGAGTCTGACACAGAGCCAATTTTCCCTTCAAGAAATTTGAGAATTCTGAACTGCATAAGGAAGGACACTAAGAAGCTAAGCAGAAAACCTCTGAAAAGCAGAGTGGAGATTTTGGCAGTTTTACATGCTGGATTAGAGTTCAAGTTCTGCCAGGGGAACTGAACATACCAGACTCAGCCTCTGAATGGCTATACTCGAGTTGCAGGAGCAAATTAGAGGGAGGCAGAGACCTGCCAAAACTGTAACCCAGCCTCAACTCAGCTCACTTCCTGATGGAAGTAAGGTGATCTCCCATTTATCTGCTTATCAGAAGAAAGGGTGAACCTCCTCTGGAGCTATATGACATCATCTGGAACCTCACCAATATTTTGTAATATCTAACACTCAATAAAAAATTACTAGGCATTTCTAAAAAACAGGACCACATTGGGCACTTGGGTGGCTCAGTCGGTTGAACAGCCAACTTAGGCTCAGGTCATGATCTTATGGTTAGTGAGTTTGAGCCCTGCATCGGGCTCTGTGCTGACAGCTAGGAGCCTGGAGCCTGCTTCAGATTCTGTCTCCCTCTCTCTCTGCCCCTTCCCAGCTCATGCGCTCTTTCTCTCTCAAAAATAAACATTAAAAAACAAAACAAAACAAAAACAGGACCATACGATTAAAACCCAGAAAAAAAATTACATTGATTTGGTGACCCAGCTATTGATCTTAATACACAAGACTGTATATAATTACATCAAATATATTCAGGAAAACAAAAATGTATTTTATCAGAAACTAAAATCTATTATAAAAGGAATCAAATGGAAATTCTATAACTGAAATATACAATCTGAAGAACTCATTAGATCAGAAGACAGAATTGGCAAAATGGAACACAAGACAATAGGAAATATTCAAACAGAAGCACACAGACCAAAAAAATACTGAAAAAATACATAAAATAAGAGACATGTAAAACATGGAAAAGTCTAAGATATGCATACCTGGAACCTCAGAAGGAGGGGAGAGAGAGAATGTGCAGAGGCAATATACAAAAAGATGATGACTGAGAATTTTCTAAAACTAATTGAAGACAACAACCTACAGATTCAAAAACTTTTACAAACCCCAAGGATAAATACAAGAAAATCACACCTAGGCAAATGTTATCTCAATTGTTGAAAACAGAAGAAAAATATCTAAAAAGCAGCCAGTGTTAAAAAAGACAACTTACTTTTAACAGACGAACAGTTAACATTCAGAGCTTGCTTTGGAAAACCATAAATCAACAGAACTTAAAGAGCTAAGAAAATAGAACTGCAAACCCATAATTCTATAGCCAGCAAAAATATCCTTCATAAATGAAGGCAAAGTAAAGACATTTTCAGACAGACAAAAATGGGAGAAAATAGGTCACCAGCAAACCTGCACTACAAGGAATACTCAACAGTTCTTTAGACAGAAGGAAAACGATCAAAGATGAAAACTCCAGAAGTACTTAAAAGAAACAAAAGGGGTGAATATGTGGGAAAATATAAATGAATACTCCTTGTACCAATAACAAAATAATGCCTTAAAATACATACAACCCACAGGTATATTAATATATAATAATCAAATGGAAAAGATGGGAGGCCAGAGGAACACTAATGGGGTAGTGGTTTAAACAATGATTTTTATTAGAATATTATATAAGTCATGGGTACATATCAATTTCTATGATAAGCAATAAAAAAATGCACAACATGGTAAAAGAGAGGCAAACAGAGTAACACAAAAGGCGGCAAAACTGGAAAGAAACACAAAACAGTCTGGACATATTGAAATCAAATAGTAAGATAGTAAATATTAACCCAAGTATATTAGTAATTACTTTAAATATACATGGACTAAAAACTCTAAGTAAAAGACTAAGAGTTTTGGACTAGGTAAAAACAAAAACAGGAAAAAAAAACCCCAACTATGCTGTTAACAAAAGACATTTTTCAATATAAGCAAATGGCTTAAAAATAAAAGAAAAAGGGGCTCCTGGGTGGCTCAGTCAGTTGAGTGTCCAACTTCAGCTCAGGTGTCATGATCTCACAGTTTGTGAGTTTGGGCCCCGTATCGAGCCCTGTGCTATCAGCTCAGAGCCTGGAGCCTGCTTCGAATTCTGTGTCTCCCTCTCTCTCTGCCCCTCCCTCACTCACACTCTGTCTCTCTCTGCCTCTTAAAAATAAATTTAAAAATTTTTTTTTAAATAAGTAAAAGAAAGGTAAATGGTAATGGAAGAATTAGCCAAAAGAAAGAGTAGATTTTATGACAAGTGTTCCCAGAGATAAAGAGCATTTCATAAGACAAAGAATCAATTCACTGATCCTAAAAAGCAAATCTAAACATATATGCACCACTTAACATAGCTTCAAAATATTTTAATCAGAAATAGACAAAAGGGAAAATGTACAAACCCACACTCTGAGCGAAAGACTGATACACTTCTTTCAGTAAGTGACAGAAGAGTGAGGCAAAAATTCTGTAAGAATACAGAAAATCTAAACAAGCCAACTACAAATTTGATCTACATATTTATAATCATGATGCCCAACAATGACTGGATCCTATTTAACACACACATGGAATCTATCAAAATTGACCATATTCTAGATCCTAAAAATCATGCCACAACAAAACAGAGAACTAAAATCATTCATAGAAGGTTCTATGACTAAAATGTAATTAAGGTAGAAAAAAGTTACAGAAAAAGCCCAAACCCACTGTTTGAAATAGCAGACAACAAGCTTGTAAATAACTCATAATCAACAAAAGGAATCATAATTGAAATTTAAATTGTACAATTATATAGATTATATAGAGAAGTAAATAAAAACAATAAAATAACAGCAAAAGCTGTACTGAGAAGAAATTTACAAGCCGATATACACATATAAGAAACTAAGAAAGCCTGAAAACAAGCAATGATATTAGCACCATCTCCAGAAGCTAGAAAAAGAGTGGCCAAACTTAGAGAATATAGCAGACAGACAATAATTAGGAAAAGAAAAAGGAGGGAAAAAAAAAAAAACCCAAAATCTCAAATTACCAATATCAGAAATGGAGGAGAGAACATTACTAGAAAAATAATGTAGATATCATAAATAATAAATTTGATATGTTAGATGAAATGAACAAATGCCTTGGGAAAAAATTAAAATTTACCAAAACTCAAAGAAAATCCAGTCTTCTATCTACAAAGAAATTTAATCCATTATTAGCAATGCCCCCCCCCAAAGAAACCTCTAAGTTATGATGAATTCACTAGAAAAATGTATCAAACATCAAAGCAAGAAGTTGCAGTAATCATACACAAACTCTAAAAAAGGAAAAAAAGGAACCTTTCCCAATTCATCTTATGAAACCAGAGTAATTTTTATAACAAAACCCAACGGGACTACCTAAGAAGGAAAATTATTCTTCATGACCATAGATGTAAAAATCATATCCCAGTATCAGTAAATTAATCCATAATATATAAAAAAAATCAATATACCACACTAAATGCACTTTTTCCCCAGTTAATATAATTAATGTCATTAATTGAAAAAGGGGGGGTAGGGGCGCCTGGGTGGCTCAGTCGGTTAAGTGGCCGACTTCGGCTCAGG